TTTTCACTGTCTTTCCCAGTATGTTTATTGCTATTGACAACAATTCAGTCCTTTGCAAGGCTTCAGTCAATGTTATTTTTCACTACCTACCCATCTCCTCGTCTGGCACTATGTAGCTGGTGTGGTATATTTATCACAGAAAGTAGGTCACATTTAGTGCTCCAACAAAATATTCTCTGTCCATGTGTATTTATATAAATAGATGCAGTTTCTTTGGCTTGAATAACATTCACTGGCTTCGTACATACAGGTATACTGGTTTACCTGTTTCTAGTTGAAATATAGCCAATCTTATTAACCAAGACAGTTGGACATTTGCCACATGTACTAACACTCGTTTCCAAGTGCCACAGCTTGAAACAAGTAGTCAAATCTGATATTGGCTTGAGCTTTTGTTTATATGGAAATGGACATGGTGAACGGCAAACTAGATGGTCAGAAAGTAATAAAAATAATCACAGGTTTACTCCACCCACCCCACTATGAAGTGAAAGGCTGTTTATAAGGCCATTTATGAAAGTTTCATGTTTATTATGGAAAATAATTTTAATTATAAACTTCTATGCTCCTGCACCCAATCGTGGGGATCAATCATATATATATATATATATATATATATATATATATATATATATATATATATATACATGTGTTATTAAGCATCAATCCAGCAAGTTCTGTAATGGTTTAACCAAATTTGCTAGCGTTGAATTGTGTTCAAACATTGTATACGTAAATTCCACTAAACATTAAACAGTAACAGTGACAATGCCGACTGCGTAGTGCAGGTGGCATCCAATACTAATGCACATGTTAATTGGCCAACTTAACGTTTCCTGCTCGCAATACCCAATTAGATTGCAAAGAAGGACCTAAATGCATTTTGTCACATTCCTTCCTCAACTCAGAGTGATACCCGCTTATTAAATTTAAAACGTGGCAAATTTGAAACGCAATTGTCGTGCAGCAAGGTACAAATGGGTGCGATTGGTTACATACACTCTCTTATTCCAATAATGAAATGATAGCAAATAGGAAAACCTCCCATTAGCACACTGTATCGGCTGACTGTTGTTGACTGTCATTTGGTAGTATGTGATGGCAATTCAGTTATTCCAATTTGTCTTTTCTTTTGCATTTGTGCCATCTATAATAAACATCATTCTATTTTGGTTAATTTTAATAATTCGTGATACAACATTCCAAGTTGCGTGCGATTTAACAGCTTCTGGGTTATATGCCAATCAAATGGCCAAAAAGATGGACCTGATTGTTTACCTGCACACACTGCATAAAATGGATGACCATTGCATTTTGGGGGACAATAATCAGTTTCTGCATTGGGATAAGTACCTTTTATGTTAGTCTTCTCTTTAATGTCAGCTTAATTGAATACAGTAGTTTCGGCTCATATAGAACTGGTGAAATCAATAAATGAAGCAGGAACACGTATCGCATGGTGAGAAATCATTTTGAAAGGTATAGAACATTCCTAAAGAGGCATTGGTCATGGATCTAAGTATGGCTACCTAAAAGAATTCAACACTGTGTTCCAGAACCAATATTTTTTGATCATTTGTTTGTTCTGGATTTCAAAGGAGGGCGGCAAATTACTCAAATAAAAATACCACAATTTACATTCTGATACATTATTAAATGTTAGGTGATTTAAATTCATAAATTAAAACTGCTGAGATCAAAAAGCTTTTTAAAAAAATGATGTCTTCCAAATATAACATAATTAATGATAATTGTCATTATCCAGTCACATTTCACACATCTAGCTGTTTGCATCTACTATTTTAAAACATTTGAGTGAAACTGATAATAAGCCACATTTCACTCTACTTATGCAAATTAGGGGCGGAGAGTCACAAAATCGTCAATAATCAGCATAAAAGAATGCTTAAAATTGGCTGCGGGAAGGGTTGTGGTGTATGTAGGCCGACTGGATATTGACTGCGGGAAGGGTTGTGGTGTATGTAGGCCGACTGCATATTGGCTGCGGGAAGGGTTGTGGTGTATGTAGGCCGACTGCATATTGGCTGCGGGAAGGGTTGTGGTGTATGTCGGGAAGGGTTGTGGTGTATGTCGGGAAGGGTTGTGGTGTATGTAGGCCGACTGCATATTTTCCACGCCAAAGTTATTGTGCAACACACAGCTTGACTTTTGCGTGTACTGGATAATCTGTTGATATTATTGAAAATGTGTGCTATATAGACTACACATAAATTATAAAAGCCAAGATGGAACATTCATTTTCCTACACTTGAAATCTTAGATCAACAATAATGTAATTATGCGATCGATTCGTCAAAGTCGAAGATTGTGCTTATGCACAAGCACGTGAATTTCCGACCGTTTTGGGATTGTATTCGCTAGGTTACTTGATTGAACGCAGCTTTTACAGTTCAGTCAAAGGTCAAAGTTGCGTTGGAACTGTTAATTCAATGCAACTTAGCCAAAATAAAAAGCATGATCATTTGAACACTGACTGGTAGGAGGTGATACATTTGCCGCGAAAGAATACAAAATTCAGTTTTGTGGCTTTGCCATGGCAACAATGGGCCAGTATTTTGTTCAGATTTTACAACCTAACGAGAGTGAATTTAAGACCTGCCTATCACAAAATCGACCCAGAAAGAAACACAGAAGAGTTAGAAGCCGTCGAATTTCGAAGGTCAAATATTTCGGTAATGAAACAAGATATCAAAAAAAAAATAAAAAAAATAGTAACTTTATGCCTGCACTCAACCTTTCGACGTTTTTTATTCTAGAATTGTAGAAATAGATACATTTGGCGCGAAGGTATTTAAAATTCCGTTTTTGGCTATTGCCATGGCAACGGTTCCAAGATTTTTTTCTAGATATTACCTAACTAGAGCGAATGTGTAATCTGCCTTGTTCCAAGTTTGAGCGAAATCGGTCCAGCCAAAAAAAAATCACAGAAGACACTTGAAATCAAACACACACACACACACCCATACTTGCTTTGCTATATGTTCCGAGGACTTCATTGGATTAACTTTTAATATAGTTGAATTAACTTTTAATATAGTTGCGATATGAACTCGATTAAAACGCGTTCCTATATAGGGTTGAGTTTTAATTGGAGTTTAATTAAACTCAATAACAATGCAATACAATGGAGAATTGCATTTTAAATAAGTTTAATTAAACAAGAGTTGAATATCCCGTGACTGAACATAGAAATGTTTGCGAAGCTTAGATTTAGTATCGGGGTAAGGTATGGTACAATTATATTAATATTAATATAACGTGAACCATACCTTCCCCCGATACTAAACCTAAGCTACGTAAAACGTATTAATAATCGAATTAACTATTAATATGATATTAATTATATTTGCCGAGGACTATGAAAAAGGTCCTCGGAAGGTGTGTATGTCCTCGGAAGTTGCTATATATCTGTATTTTTGTCCTCGCAACATATAGCAATCCAAGTACACACACACACACACACATACAGATGTCCCATGAATTGTGGAGCCACCATACAGGTGTCCCATGAATTGTGGAGCCACCATTGAATTAACTTTTAATATACTAGTAGTTGAATTAACTTTTAATATAGTTGCGATATGAACTCGATTAAAACGCGTTCCTATATAGGGTTGCGTTTTAATTGGAGTTTAATTAAACTCAATTACAATGCAATACAATGGAGAATTGCACTTTAATTAAGTTTAATTAAA